ACCAGAGTTCCCACACGATGTCACCCACATAGGGGAACGGGTGTCAGAGCACAGGTTTGACTTATGCTTCTGTAGGACCTTAGACCCAGCGCACTATGTTTATCTCTGGTTACTAGTCTACAGGAATTTTTGAGCTGGTAAAAAGCTCATTTATAAACCCCTGAAAATATCTAAGAACTGTGCTGGTTTATACAAGGGAATCCATGTTTAAGGCCAGGCCTCACATGACTGCAGAAAAGCTACCACAGATGGTTCCTGAGGAATCAGCAATGTTGAACTAGGTCAGACACAAAAATTATAGTTTTCTCCTCTGAGGACTGGGCTGCAATCTGTTAATCATGTAGAAGAAGAAACTCCCAAGGTTGAGGTTAGAGCCAGGCCTGTGGGCAGTACCCACACCCCCCGGGGGCGGGGAGCTGTGGCAGGACCAGGCACCATCTCTGCACACTATAAGGATAAATAAATAGACCTGAAGGTCAAGGCTGGGCATAAGAACTCACCCCAAAGATACCCAGAAAAGTACTCAGGTCTGGAACTCTGCATAGCCAAGGATGACTTAAGCATCTGTTCCTCCTGCCTCCATCTCCTGAGGGCTGGTATTACAGACATGAGCCACCACGCCCCATTTTGTGCAGTGCTGGGAATGGAACACAGGGACCTGAGTTTGATCCCTGGAACCTGCATGGTAGAAGGAGAGGGCCAACCCCCAGTCTCCCCCTCTCCACCCCCACAAGTTGTCCTCCGACCTCCATACAAGTTCTATGTCATGTTCATGTCCCCAACAAATAAATAAATGTAAAATCAAAAAATCTGTACCTCATATCATATACAACACTAAACTACAAATGGATCAGAAATCTAAATGTAAAAAATAAAACTACACTGTGCAGTGTTCAAGTGATTCCTTGTCAGAGTAAGGAAAGAATGTGACCACAAGGTGGCAGTAGCACACATCATAATTTGGGCAATAAATAAACAGTTGGAGCAGACGGTGCAAGTCCTTTGCAGCCTTAGACAAAGCAGACTCCCTCCAACTTGGTAATCGTGTGCATGAGTGGGGAGAATAGAACTCCCAGCAAAGGCAGTCAGGGAGGTGGCTTGCATGACTATCTAGAGGATGCTACTACTTGGTAATTTATCCAATAGGTTCTGGGTCAGATCTGAAAGCACTAAGTGATTGGGCTCTTCACAGCCACAGGGTTATGCTATCCACGGCTACCAGGTCTGGGGCACAGTCACAGGGAGGATGAAAAGCATGATGACAAAGATGCTTGCTCCGAGTTTGAAATAATCACGATTGCCAGTAATCGTCCCATCAACACTGCAGTGCAAATACAGCTTTGGCTTCCAGCTCTCGGTATTTTGGATTTATAGGAAAAAAGTATCACTGCATCATATAATAATGAGGTTTAATAACGGGGGGGGGGGGGCACCACAATACAGCTCTCCAGACCTGCTATGACATTTTATTACCAGGAATGCACATTTCCTTACCTTTTACCTTTTCGGTTTCTTGGTTTTCGTTTTGTATTGTGTGGGGGTGGGCACATGTGTGAAGGTCAGAGGACAACTGCTAGAGCCGGTCCTTTCCTGCCACGGGAGCTCCAGGGGTCAAGCTTGGGTCATCATCCTCAGCAGCAAGTGCTTTACCCATTGAGCTATCTTGCCAGACCCTCTTTTCTTTTTCAAATTTCGCCCTCCTCCCCATGAAAGATGATAACGGTCATCGTCAGTGTGGTAAAATGGCTTCTCGTTTTCACTTTGCAGGCAACCTATACCTCTGCAGTCCGAAACCGTAAGACACAGTACGGCCCCCGTGACTTCTGCCGTCCGAGACCGTCAGACACAGTACGGCCCCGGTTACTTCTGCCGTCAGAAACCGTAACACACAGTACAGCCCCCGTTACCTCTGCAGTCCAAGACACGTAAGACACAGTACGGCCCCCGTTACTTCTGCAGTCCGAGACCGTCAGACACAGTACGGCCCGGTTGTGGTTTGGGTTCGTTTTCCTGTTCAGTGACTTAATCATCTTTTGCTGTGCTTGCTGCTCATTTGCACACCGTTCATTTGCATACCTGGTGAAGTTACTCAAGTCCTTTTATATATTTGAGTTTTACTGTTACTCTTGAATTCAGAGGTTTTGTATGCGGGCATGTGTGTGTCTCAGGCTGGCCTCCAACTTCTTATTTGACTTTAAAAAATTAATTGTAAGAATTGGTATTCAAAGCAGCAAGATGGAACTCACTACGTGGACCTGCCGGCCTCTACCTCTCAAGTGTCAGTGCTAAAGGCCTATGCCACCATATTTGACCCCCTTGTACCTTCATGTTGATCTAATAGATTGCAGTATTTTAGACATTTTCTTTTGTATGGTCATTGGTGACATGGGTAATGTTAATTGAGTCTAATTGATTTTCTGTATCTGGGACCTTTGAATTCTAGTGCTGTTGTAATAGTTTGTTTTCTCCTCTCTGAGTAGTACTGGGGTGACCCCTAGAGAGAGGGCTGCTCACTAAAAAGACCTCCAAATAAAACTAGAAGAGCTGTCCATCCAACCACATGAGTGAATCACAGCTTAGAAACACACGAAACACAGGACAGCCAGGGCTACACAGAGAAACCTTACCTCAAAACAAAACAAAACAAACATGACCCCTCCTGGAGATCACTACCACTCAATGACTGACTCCAAACAGAATAGAACGGCTGAAATGCTAGACAAAGAACTCAAAAGTCTAAGTTTTTTAAAGTTTTTTTTTTTTAACTTTTTTTCTCATGGGTCAGTGTGTGTGCATATGCCAGGGTGTGCTCTTGAGGCCAGAGGACAACGTGTGGAGGTCAGTCCTCTCCTTCCACCATGTGCATTCTGGAGATTGGACTCAGGTCCTCTGGATTGGCACTGAGCGTCTTTACTTGCTGAGTTCTCTCACCAGTCCTGAGAAGTCATTAAAATGATCAATGACCAGCCAGGTGGTGGTGGCACACACCTTTAATCTCAGCACTCAGGAAGCAGAGGCAGGCGGATCTCTGTGAGATGAACAAGTTCCAGGACAGCTAGGGCTACCAAAAAATATCAATTACCTCAAAGAAGACTAAAGAATAGCTGATAAATTAAGTAAGAAATCAGTTCAGGAACTGGACAAGAACGTTAGCAACGTGGATGAAAATTTCAGCAAGGAAGCTGAGCATGGTGGGGAATGCCTTTAATCCCAGCACTTGGGAGGCAGATGCAGGTAGAGTACAGAGTGAGTTCTAGGACAGCCAGGGCTACCAAGAAAAACCTGTCTTGAAAAGCAAATTTAAAAATCAGCAAGGAATTTGAAAGTTTGAAGAAAAGAGAAATACTAGAAACAAAATCTCAGTAAATTAAACAACAACAAAACAGCAGAAAGCATCACTAACATATCAAAAGAATATCAGTTATTGAAGATAAAACCGAGGAAAAGCCATATCCAGATATTAGGAAAGGAAAAAAGTCAATACATTTTTTCAAGAACTCTTGGAGATGATAAGAGAGAGAGAGAGAGAGAGAACACACTAAGAAATCATGGGGAAGACAGAGCTAAGATAAAACTAATAGCACAGAAAACATACCCAGTAAAATATTGGAAAAATTCCATATCTAGGAAAAGATGTGGACAGCCACACATGAGACTTACATACCTGATAGATACGAGCAGGAAGAGCCTTTCCTCAGGCCAAGCAAGATGACTCAGCCTTAGACAAGCTTTCGACCAAGGATAATGACCTGAGTTAAATCTCTGAGACACACGTGGTGGGACTAGAAAGCTGACTTAGACAGCCATATGCACACCATGGCATGTACATGTCCACAAACATCAGCCAATCAATCACTGTAATAAAAGCAATAGGTTTGGGGAAATAGCTCAGTGACAGATTAATGCTTTTGCAGAGGATCTAAATTTAGTTCCCAGTAACCATTATCTGGCAGCACACAACCACCTGTCACTCCTTCACAGGCAACCAAACTCGTGTGTACATGCCCACACAGAGACACATAAAAATCATTCTTAAAAATTAGCTGGGCATAATGGTGCATACTTTTTAATCCCAGTACTCAGCAAACAGAGACAGGCAGATCCATATTAAGTTCCAGGACAGCCAGGGCTACATACAGAGACCTTATCTCAAAATAAATGAAAAAAATATATAAAAAGGAACTGTGATTTGACACATGTATTATACTCCTTAAATTCATGAGTCTTCCCACAACTTGAATATTTTCATGTATTTGAACTGAAACAAGTGAAAGGCTTTTCCACATTGCTTAGATGCTGTTCTCAACTGTTTCACATGTGAACATTAAGGCTGGGGGATGTCTTTCTGTACGCTGTGAATATATGTTGTTCCCATTGGTTAATAAATAAGCTGCTTTGGCCTATGGCAAGAAAGCTTACAGCCAGGTGGGAAATCCAAGCAGAGATACAGAGAGACAAAGGGTGGAGTTGGGGGAGACGCTGCCAGCCACCACTAAGAGAAGCAAGATGTGAAAGTACCAGTAAGCCACGAAGCCACGTGGCAAGAGAGAGATTAATGGAAATAGGTTAAGTTATAAGAGCTAGCTAGTTTAATCCCAGCACTTGGGAAGCAGAGGCAGGTGGATCTCTGTGAGTTCAAGGCCAGCCTGGACTACAGAGTGAGTTCCAGGAAAGGCTCCAAAGCTACACAGAGAATCCCTGTCTCAACCCCCCCCACACACACAAAAACCCGTAAGAGCTAGCTAGCAAAAAGCTTGAGCCATAGGCCATACAGTTTGTAATTAATACAAGCCTCTGAGTAATTATTTCATAAGTAGCTGTGGGACCACAGGTGGGAGAGATTCGTCTGGACCTCGGGGCCAGGCAGGACCAGAGAAACATCTGGCTACACTCCATTCCATATATGTTTTATATATATATGTGTGTGTGTATATATACATATACATATACATACACACACACACACACACATGTTATAAAGTTCATTTGCGGGCTACAGAGGTGGCTTAGCAGTTATGCATTTCCCCGTTACCACAAATTATACAGTCACGTTTCCCGTATTTAGGGAAAATGCAGGGGTCAAAACATTTGGAATACAATGAATAGGCCATGCGCTGTGAAAACAACCTTTATGAGCATCTCCCCTGCCAGGTATGACTTATGAATTTAAGTTGTATAATAAATGTGTCAAATCGCAGTTGCTTTTGTTTTTGAGACAGTGTCTTAGTTACTGTTCTATTGCTGTGACACCATGACCAAGGAAATTCTTATTTAAAAAGAAGCAGCAGCAGCATTTACTGGAGGCTTGCTTATGGTATTAGAGGGCCATGATCATTTATTATGGTGGGAAGCAGACAGGTATGATGCTGGAGCAGTAACTGAGAGCTTTACACCCTGACCTGCAGGCAGCAGGTTGAGATATATTGGGCCTGGCATAGGCTTTGGAAACCTCAAAGCCCACCTCCAGGGACACACCTCCTCCAACAAGGCCACAGCGCCTAATCCTTCCCAAAGTTACACTAATTGGGGACCAAGCATTCAAACATGAGCCTTTCCCATTCAAACCACCACAAACAGGATCTCAGTTAGCCCTGGCCAGCCTCAAACTTACCATGACAAGGGTGACCTTGAACTCCTAGTCTTCCTGCTTCCACCTCCTGAGTGCTGGGATGACAGGTGTGCACTACAACACTCGGTTTTATTTTTGTTTCGAGATGGGATCTCATGGCACCCAAGATGACCTCAAACTCAGCATGTAGGCAATACTGAACTCAACTTCCTGATCATTCTGCCCTCATCCCCCCAAGTGTTAGGATTATATTAGTGTGCCGTTATTTTCATGCTATTTGGCTTTTTAAGATTTATTCAGCAGGGCAGTGGTGTCGCACGCCTTTAATCCCAGCACTCAGTAGGCAGAAGCAGGCAGATCTCTGAGAGTTCAAGGCCAGCCTGGTCTATAGATCCAGTTCCAGGATAGCCAGGGCTACACAGAGAAACTTTGTTCCCCCCCTTCAAAAAAAACCCAAAAGAGTTATTAATTATTTTGTGTGCATGAGTGTTTTACCTACGTGTATTTATGTGCAACACATGACTGTATGTTGCCCTCAGGAGCCAAAAAAGGGCATCAGATGAGCTGGAACTGGAATTACAGACATGATTATAAGCCACCATGTGGACACTGGGACTCAAATACTAGGTCCTCTAGAAGACTAACAAATGCTCTTAACCGCTAAGCCATCATTTTGCCCCCATCCCTTGATTTGATTTGTAAAGATGTGATATTGAAGAAAAATGTTTGAAAACACAGAAGACAGACAGGACCTTGCTGTGTAGCACAGGTCTTACACTCAATCCCACTTCCACCTCTCAAACTGTAGGGTTATACAAATAAGGGCCACTGCAATCAGACCTGCATGTAACTAAAGCTTTTGGGTAGTCCAAAGGTTCATTCATATTGAATATATTTGTTAGAGCTAATGCAACAAAGTAACAGACCAGGAAGCTCAAATGTGGTTATTTATTTCTTACAATTGGGAGGCTGGAAATCAAAGATCAGCATAACTCAGGTAGTTTCCTCTGGAGGTCATAGTAGAAACATGTAGTAGAAACATAGTAGAAACATCTGTCTCATTTGCAGAAGGCCATTTGAAGACTTCCCATGGTCTTCTCTCTGTATCCTGCTGCACCTTAGCCTTCTGAGGACATCAGTCACTCTGACCTAACAGGACTCATTGCAACTTCCTTTTCTTTTTATTATCTTTACTTTATGTGTACAAGTGTTTTGCCTGAACATGTGCACTCTATGTATGATGAGTGTTCACAGAGGCCAGAAAAGGGTGCCAGATGTCCTGAAACTAGTTATGGATGGCTGTGAGTTGCCATGTGAATGCTGGGAACAGAACCTGTGTCCTCTGCAAGAGTAGCAGGTGCTGGTAACTGTTTGAGCCATCTCTACAGTCACTCATTTCAATTTTTAAAATCTATTATTCTTGGAGACTGGCAAGAGGGCATGTGTGCCACAGCATTCATGTGGAGATCACAAGGCAGCTGTTAAATGCCAATTCTCTCCTTCCACGGTGGGGAACCAGGGATAGAAAGCAAGTTGTCAGTACTGTATGGAGAAGGCTTTTATCTACCGAGCCATCTCAAGAGCCCCCATTTCCATTCTTGGAAGTTGTATTTATTACTGCGGCATATGTGGGGAGGTGGGTAAACATACGGGGTCACAGGACAACTTCAGGGCACTGGTTCTTCTACCTTGTTGAGGCAGGGCGGGGTCTCTCTTGTTCTTTCTGCCATGCTGCATACTCCAAGCTGGCTGCCCTGCAAGCTTCCAGGTGATTCTCCTGCCTCTGCTTCCCATCTTGTAGGACTGCTGGGAATACAGATGCATGCCACTCTATCTGTCTATTTTACAGGGATGTGGATCAAGTTCCAGTCGTCAGACATTCACAAGTGCTTCTGTCCACTGGGCCCTCTTGCCAGCATTCACTTTAACTTTTCTGACATGGAGTATCTGTGTTGCCCAGTATAGTTTTAAATTTACCCCCATCTTCAGCCTCCTGAGCAGCTACCATACAGCACTGCTCCAAGCTATGTATATAATTTTAAACATTTTCTCTCCAGTGTGAGTACCATCATGTCTTCAAAGCAAACTAGAGCAAATAATGGCTTTCTCACATAGCTAACATCAACTAGGCTTCTCACTAGTGACTTCTTTCATGCCTTCGAAGTGAACGAGGATGACTGTAGGCTTTTCCACACTGCTGACACTTATATGGTTTTTCTTCAGTGTGAGTGTGACTTATTTCATGAATTCTGAAGGAACTGGGACAGATGAAGGCTTTCCCGCACTCCTTACATTCATAGGGCTTCTCTCCAGTGTGGGTTCTTTCATGTATCTGAAATGAAGTGGAATGACTGAATGCTTTCCCACACCGTTTACACTCATAAGGTTTCTCTCCAGTGTGGATTCGCATGTGAATTTTAAGGTGGGTGGAATAGTTAAAGGCCTTCCCACATTCCTTACATGTGTATGACTTTTTGGCATTGTGAGTTCTCATGTGATTATTAAGACATGAAGGATATCCAAATGCTTTCCCACAAATCTTACACTCACATGTCTTCTCTTCAGCATGCATTTTCAAATGTCCATTGAGATTTGAAGAGACAGCAAAGGCTTTCCCACATTTGACACACACAAAAGGCTTTTCTCCTGTGTGAGTTCTCACATGTTGAATAAGTCGTGAGGATGTAAGGAAGGCTTTCCCACACTCCTTACATTCATAGGGCTTATCACCATTGTGAGATCTTACATGTATACTAAGGCCTGAGTACTGAGTGAAAGCTTTTCCACACTGATTACATACATAGGGTTTCTCTCCAGTGTGAGTTCTTCCATGTATCTGAAATGAATTGGAATAATTGAAGGCTTTCCCACATTCCTTACATTCATAGGGCTTCTCACCAGTGTGAGTTCGCATGTGAATATTTAGATATGCAGGGTATCTATAGCCTTTCCCACATTCCTTACATCTGTAAGGTTTCTTTGCATTGAGAGTTTCTATAAGCACAGCCAGTCTTGAGTTTATAAAACTTCTCCCATATTCATTCCAATCATAAATTCTGTCTCCACTGTGAGTTCTTCTATGTGCCTGAAGGTGTGACTGATTAATAAAAGACTTCCCACAGTCACTGCCTTCAAAAGATTTCTCTTCTGTGGTAATTTTCTGATTAACCTTAACTGGGGTCATACAGATTTCTTCATTCTGATTGAACTCAGAAAGTTTCTCACCAGCACAGTTTTTCTTCTGAAGCATTACAAGGTCTTTTCCATACTGACTACAGTCATAATTATCCTGTGTAGTTTGAGTTTCCCTATGTGTCTTAAGGGATGAGAGTTCACTGAAGAAGTCTTCAGATTTCGTCCACTTACAGCGCTCCCTTCCATCCTGGCTTCCTGTCTGCTGATAAAAGGGAAGAACAACATTTCTTTATTGCAGCCAATTGGTAAGGTTATAACCATTTGATAACAAAACATTATGATTATTTTTCACTACATGCATACAGTTCATACTCGTGAATTGCTCTCCAGTGGTGTGATTAAACACTTCCTCCAGAATGCTGTTATCTGGTCTAATCTTTAAAAGATTTCTGTACCATTCCAAGAAAAGGATGTAATTTGTGTGAATTCTGAAGCAGTGAGTTTCATTACACATCACGGGCACAATTTAATACTATTCCTTCAGACTTTGCTCTTGTGTATTATCTGCTTCTCTCAAATCTCCTTTAATGAGTTTTCTCCTTCCAAGGGCTTCAAGCACGCCAGTTAGGTACTGTACAAGAGACACATCTCTAGCCGCTAATTTTCTTTGAGAATAAAAATAAGATAAATTTTTTATTCTTACCATTTGCATCCCATTGGATATGTTACCCCTCAAAAATTCCTGTTGGGGTGCTGAACATTTGTTTTCAAGCTGCATTTTCCATTCTGAAGTAAAACAGAAAAATAAATGTTAAGAGTTTGGAGAAAGAAATGGAAAATGGGAGTTAAAAATAAGACTTGGGCTGGAGAGATGGCTCCGTGGTTAAGAGCCCTGACTGCTCTTCTAGAAGACCCAAGTTTAATTCCCAGCACCCACATGGCAGCTAACAACTGTCTCGAACTCCAAGATCTGACACTGTCACACAGACATCCATGCAGGCAAAACACCAATACACATAAAATAAAAATAAATTATCTTTAAAAAAATAAGGCTCATTTATTTTTATTTTGAATTTTAAAAGGTAGAAAACAGTAGAAACAGATGAGGTTATTTTTCTGTTCTATTTTAAGACTAAGCAGCCCAGCCTTGAACTCACTACACAGCTCATACTATGCTGACTTCATAACCATTCTGTCTCAGATTCCTGAATAGAAGGATCACAGAGATGTGCCATGCCAGGCAAAAACAATAACAATTGATCAAGCTTTTAGATCATATTAAAAGTTAAAAGTTAATTATATAAAAATTAAAACCAATGGTAAACAGAAAGAATTTATAAGGGAAAGAGAGTAGAAAATTTCAGGAAAATTTAAGTAGAAAAATCTCTCAAAGCAATGTTTAAGAATATTGGAAGTTGAAGATTTTCCTTCTTGCCTCAGAGTTCTGAAACAAATTTTATCTTGAATAACTTCATTATAGGAGCTGGGCTGGTTAAAAAAGAGTAAAGTCTTATTTTACAAGTGTGAGGACCTGAGTTCAGATCCCCAGAACTCACATAAGGCTGAGCATGGCAGCATGTGTCTGCAATTCCAGTACATCTACGACAAGATGGGGATGGAGACAGGAAAACCCCCTGAAGCTTGCTGGCCTGGCACATGCAGTGGCAAACAGAGACACTGTCCAAACGCAGTGGAAGGTGAGGGCCAACACCAAAGGTTGCCCTCTGACTCCAAAATACATACCGCGGCAACCCATACACGCCCCTATACACACATCACACATACATATACAAGGGTTTTAAGGTTTTTTAAAACATTCATTCATCCATTCATTCACATACTGAGTGCTGTGGATATCGCTCTACATAAATAAAACACTGATGGCCAGTGACCAGACAGGAAGTATAGGCGGGACAAGGAGAGAGGAGAATTAGGGAAACAGGAAGAAGGAGGGAGAGACACTGCAGCCACCGCCAGGACAAGCAGCATGTAGAGACTCTGGTAAGCCACCAGCCACATGGCAAGGTATAGATTTATAGAAATGGGTTAATTTAAGATATAAGAACAGTTAGCAAGAAGCCTGCCATGGCCATGTAGTTTATAAGTAATATAAGCGTCTGAGTGATTGTTTTATATGTGGATTGTGGGACTGCGGGGCTTGGTGGATCCTGGAGAGAAGCCCTCCAGCAACAACTGAGTGTATGTGTGCACACATACATATGTGTCATAGCATGCAGTAGAGGTCAGGGGACTTTGGGAGTTGGTTCTCTCTTTCCACCATGTGGGTTCCAGGGATTGAACTCAAGTTATGAGGCTTGGCCGCACGTGCCTTTACCTACTGAGCCATCTCTCCAATCCAACACAAGAGTTTAGTTTTTATTTTAAGTTTATTTCAGTTGCAAACATACTAAACTTTCATTAAATAGAATTTCCAAGCCCAGTGACGGTGGTACACACTTTTAATCCCAGCATTCAGGAGACAGAAGCAGGCAGATCTCTGTGAGTTCGAGGCCAGCCTTATCTACAGAGTGAGTTCCAGGATAGCCAGGGCTACACAGAGAAGCCCTGTCTCAAAAGAAAAAAAAAAAAGAATTTCCAAGAATACTGACCTGGGAAAACTATCTTCTGACCTGTACTAAACTCTTCTTGTTCCAACCAAGAGACCAGGCTGGGTTTGATGAGCTGATATCCTGTGCACAAGGTAAGACACATTGGTGAGAAGGCACAGTCAGAAAAATGACGTAACTTCCCATGGTTCATGAATCCCAATTTTTGCTTTTTTTCTCCAGTGTGTGAAGACAAGCACTGGCTTCAAGCTCACAGAAATAGTCCTCTTTCAGCCTCCCATGGGCTTGAATTCCAGAAGTGTGCCACCAACCCTGGCCAGAAATTAGAGTTGTGATGATAACATAAATTATTTTTAAGGGACTAATAATACAAGTACCACCTGTCTATGTCTCAAAAGTTCAATTTGCTCTGGAGCCTAAGACCCCAATTAATTTAGTCACATACACATTTACAAAGCACCAGAGTTTTCTTTCTGTAGTACAGGGGACTGCACCCAGGGCCCTGCAAGTGATAGATAGATAGGTGCTCGATCACTGAGTCATATCTAACCCAGAATCTGACTTTTATTCAAACAGGAAGTAAGAACAGCAACAGCCAGGCAGTGGTGGTGCATGCCTTTAATCCAGGAGGCAGCGGCAGGTAGATCTCTAAGTTCAAGGCCAGCCTGGTCTACAGAGTGAGTTCTAGGACAGACAGAGCTACACAGTGAAACGCTGTCTCAAAAACCAAAAACAAAAGAAGGAGAGAGAGAGAACTGCAACAAAGAGATCTTTGTTCCTCTAGGGAAATTAACTACAAGTGGTTCATATATAGTATTGTTCATCACAGTCATCAAGATAATCAAACTTTCTAATTTACTTATTATTTTGCATGTGTGTATAAGTGCTCATGTCTGTGGGTGTGCTTCTGTATAAGTGGTAGTCAATATCACACCTGGCTTTTACATGAGAGCTGGGGCTCTAACTCAGTCCTCTTGCTTAGGCAGTGACCACCTTACTGAGTCATCTCCCCAACCCCTTCCTTAATTAAATATATGCATTTGCGGGTATGGATGTGTGCGGTGTATGTGTATGTGGAATATGCACATTTGTGTGCATGTCTGTGCCCACATGTAAAGGACAAAGGGGGTGTTGGGTGCCATTCTCTATCACTCTCTGTCTTGCTTCTTTACAGCAGTCTCTCCTGGAACCTTGGCTTATGTTTTTCCAGCCAGGCTGGGAGCCAGTAAGCCTCAGTGATCCTCATTTCCAACCTCCCCCCTATTCTATATACTAGGGTTTCAGGTGTGTGCAAGACCACAAGCCGCTGGTTATATAAGTACTGGATTTCACTCCAGGTCCTCAACAAGGTCTCTTAACCACTGAGCCATCTCTTGAACTCCAAGAGAACTTATTAACACACAAATGATGTAAGATTTTACATTGACGTCTCTAATTTAGCCTATCAACATGGAGAGGGAAAATATATACTCTCTTTCTAGAGTGAGGGGCAGGGTTCAAGATAGGGTTTCTTTGTGCAACATGGATGCCCTGGGAATTCGCTCTGTAGACCAGGCTGGCCTCAAACTCAAAGACTGCTGGCCTCTGTCTCCTGAGTGCTGGGACTAAAGGCGTGAGCCACCAACACCCAGCAAAAATATATACAGACCTTGGACTTTTTGAGAACTACCCCAGAATATTAAGACACATTTAGGGTGGTATACACTTTTAATCTCAGCATTCAGAATGCAGAGGCACGGGTAATATCTGAGTTTGAGGTTAGCCTGTTTTACATCTCATGTTCCAGGCTACCAAGGGCTACAATGAGACTCCCTGTTTCAAAATACAGCAAAGCAAAAACCAAAAAAGTATGTATTTAGGGATGGAGCTGTGTCTTACTCAGAACTACCATCACCATTCCTGAAACACAGTCCATGAGAGGCTACAGGGAGCAACAGCAGACCTACCTACTGTGACCAGGTTCTGGTAGTTCTCCAGCATCACATCTCTGTAGAGGCTTCTCTGGGCTGGGTTCAGTGAGGACCACTCCTCTTGGGTAAAGGCCACAGTCACATCCTCAAAGCTCACTAACTCCTGAAATATTGAAGACAAGCTGGGTTTAGCCAAATAAGATCTTTGTTAATGAACATGGGAGGATGAGGAAGCAGGACCCATCATCTATAGAAAATTTCCTGGCCACATTATAAAATCCTCTGTAAACTTGTGTGTGCGTGCGTGCGTGCGTGCGTGCGTGCGTGCGTGCGTGTGTGTTGTGGTGTATATACTTGTATACTGATAGGTATACTTGCCTGTGCAAGTTCATGTGAAGGCCAAAGGTTGATGTTGGGATGACTTCCTCAATGAATTCTTCACCTTATTTTCTGAGACAGGGTTTTTCACTGAACCTGGAAATTGCTGTTTCAGCTAGACTGGCTGACCAGAGAGTCCTGAAATCTGCCAGTCTCCACCCACATGACATTATAGACATATGCTGGGGATATGGGGATCAACATTCAGGTCCCTGGGTTTGTACTACAAGCCCTTTACCCACCGAGCCGTCTCCTCAGGACCTGCCCACCTTTCTGCCTTGCTAGAAGGAACTCAGACCCCGACTGGGCATGCTAGGCAAGAACCCCACCACTGAGCCCCACCCCAGCCCTATTCTCACGCTCTTCATTTCCTCAAGTTACATGCCATGCCGAATTGGAACCGGTACTAGCAGTACACAAGAAAATACCCTATTTCTCTGTATTAAGCGCAATAGCCAGCACTTCCTAAAGATGTGAGGAATGTGCATACATGAATGAATGTCTGTAGAAAAATAAATTGTCATCTATCTTATCATCTGCCAGAGAACTTAACAAAGGAAGAAACATTCAGTTGATCAGGGGCCAGCAAGATGGCTCAGTGGGTAAAGTCATTTGCCACCATGCCTGATGACCTGAGTGTGATCCTCAGACACACATGATGCAAGGAGAGAACTGACTTTTGCAAGCTGTCCTCCAAATCCACACACTGTGGCATGTGCTCATATAAACATTTGCATCTACACATTCATGGGCACATACATACATACATACATACACACACACACACACACACGTAATAATAAAAGAAACATGAGGAAGCTGGGCAATGGTGATGTGTGCCTTTAATCTCAGCACTAAGGAGGCAGAGGCAGGTGGATCTCTGTGAGTTTGAGGCCATCCTGGTCTACAGAGTGAGTTCCAGGATAACCAAGGCTACATAAAGAAACCTTGTCTAGAAAAACCAAAAATAAAAACAAACAAAATGAGGGCTGGAGAGATGGCTCAGAGGTTAAGAACACTGGCTGCTCTTCCGGAGGTCCAGAGTTCAATTCCCAGCAACCACATGG